TTAAAAATAAAATAATATCTAAATTTTAGTTTTAAGAGAAAAAGAATAAACTAATTAAAGTCTGATTTTTAGAATTAATATTATAGATGAAATCTCTGTTCTAAAAAAAATTTGAAAATCATTAAATTTAATTTTTTTTTAAATAGAAGAATAATTTATAAATTGTTACTCTGCAACCTCATCACCTTAACCTGATGCCTTATTGTAAAATTATTGATGATGAATTGCTTTCATTTTGTGAGGTTATTTTCTATCTTTTTATTCCCACAATGAATATTTCTCTTTTTATTTTTTATAAATAACAAAAAATAAATATTATCTAATTAAGGTTACACTCGGTTTTATTCATTCTTTAATTTAATTCATAATTATAACTATGCATAAGTTTGTTCTAAGTGATGCTCAAAAAATGATGATAATGAAAGTATAAGGTGAGATAATCAAAAATTCTTCAATTTTTGATTTTGATAAAATTAAAAGGATTTTTAATTCAAGTTCCATCTATTCTAATTATGAAATTGTAAGGATAGAAACAATTCTTAGAAAATATTCTGAAATATGTTGATTCAAAAATATAACAATAGACGGTGGTAATTGCAAAGAAAATTGTGCAATTTAATCATGTTTTATTTTAAAATGGATGTGCATACATTCCTCTAATTGTGTTGATTATGAAGATACACCATTTAAGGAATAAAATCAAGTGCTTATTCAAAACCTTTATCAGGAGGTTATAGATTGTAATGATGGTATTTCATGTATTACAGCCAATAGTATATATCATAATTTAGCCATATTCTGACTAAAAAATTTATTCATTTTTAAATTCATGCTACTCTACTTGGGAATCTGGGCACATATATTCAAATTGTTTATCCAATAAATTTTTATATTTTTGATCCTAGTACCAAAACTCACAGGTGTATAACATGCAATTAAATTGGTTGTTTGACGTGTAAAAACTTGAATGAATGCACTTCTTGTGATTCATCTAGTCTGTATAATACTATAATAAATGGTGTTTGCTTATTAATAAGTCCATCTTAAAAGTCTAGCCCAAGTCCATCAATTTTGTGTAATATCTATTGTGAAACATGTACAGGAACTTTATAAGTTAATTGCTTAACATGTGTTTCACATTTTCATTGATCATTATATAATAGCTAATGCTTATATTAATCAGGATTCTATGATGATGGAATTAATATATATTGTCTTCCTGGTAATAATAATCCATATGATGGACAAATGTAAATTAGGTTGAGATGCTTTTTGCAATCTACGTCAACAATCATCGCATTGTTCATTTCCTAAAATTAATTTATCTCCTTCTAATGGATAACAAATTCTTTCAAAAATATTTAAAATCCATCCCTAATTACATTGATAACACATTCCATTATGTTATTGGTTATCTAAAATATTTTTTTTCATAATTTTCAAAATTATTTTAAATATTCTAATAAGAAAATCAATAATTAAGATGTAGCATGTAGAACATGAATCTTGACATTTGTAAAAGAATTAAAAAGAATATTTGTCATTTAAATCATCACATTCTTTGTAATATTCTGTTAAGAATCATTATTATCTTCACATTCTTCATTATCAACTAAAAGATTATCTCTTTAACACAGAATCTTGGCAACATGATTAATTCTGATGGATACTATTAATATAAATACTGCGTTGATTGCAAATTAGGTAAATGTGAAATATGTAGAATTGAATATTATTTAAATCGACAATATAATTCTTGCTTTAGTATTTGTGGCGAACTGATAATTATGACAGAAGATTATGAATGTTCTAACTGTTGGGTATTGCTTAGAATGTGATTCTCCAGATTGGCTTTTATATGAAAATTAATGCATATCATATTGTGGAGATTAAGTTGTTATAGATAATGAATGAATGTTAGGGATTTCACATCTAAGGCGATCAAACTTTAATTTATTATAACAAATGGTTATTGTCACCCCAGTATGTGGAGATGGATTTATTGTTCTCTTCTAAGAAGAATGTGATGATGGCAATTTTATAAAGTATGACGGTTGCAATCAATTTTAATTCTAACGTTAAGAAATGTGCACTCTCTGTTAATAATGTATATGTTATGAATGCGACTATCTAGGTTGGATGATAGAAAATCATTTGTGCAAGCCATTTTGCGGAGACAGAATTGTAACAGGTTATGAATAATGTGATGAATGAATGACAAGAAAGATGATGGTTGTCATATGTGTTAATTTGTATGCGATTAATATTGCATTAATTGTTTAGAAGGAGTTTGTTAAAAATGTGAATTGGGAAAGATCTTTATTATAAAATCTTTGTCTTTCTTTATGTGGATATGGCAATTAAGTAAAATCTGTTGAGAATTACGATGATGGAAATCACTAGATTGGAGATTAAAATTATGATTATTTTATTTTTAATTTATATCTAAATACTAAAATAAATTTTTTGTTTGATTTGTTATTGAATATAGTTACTCAAATAATTATCTCAGGTCCCAATATTCTGATTGAGTTATCACTTCTACTAGATGCTAAAAGTGGTGGCTTTTATTATCCTGTTTTAACATCCCATAATCTTATTGAGTTATC